TTTGACTGTGGTCCTAACTGTAAGAAGGTTTGACCAAGTGGGTGTTTTGAGACAATCCTAACTGTAGGAAGGTTTGATCGCTCAATTTGTGGACCTCTCGTTCATTGGGGGAATCGAGAGGGGATTTTGACTGTGGTCCTAACTGTAAGAAGGTTTGACCAAGTGGGTGTTTTGAGACAATCCTAACTGTAGGAAGGTTTGATCGCTCAATTTGTGGACCTCTCGTTCATTGGGGGAATCGAGAGGGGATTTTGACTGTGGTCCTAACTGTAAGAAGGTTTGACCAAGTGGGTACTTTACGTCCAGACTCTAACAGAGAGAGTGTTGAGTGCACAGACACGGTGAGAATTTGAATGAGAGTTCTTATTCATTACATTGTTGTGGTTTTGGGAACTTCCCGTTACATAAATCGTCCACCCCCAGTTTCCTCTGCGGAACTGGTTCGGACATTATTATCAGTTAACTAACCGGGTTATCCTTAAGAATATTAGCTTAATATTCTCCAGGAACTTCCCGTCAAAAGTGGGGAAACAGTTTAGACTCATATACCTATTGGAGTATCAGGGAGTAGTTTAACCTCTTATACCGGTCGGAGGATTGAGAAACAGTTTATACTCGTATACTCTTTGGAGTTTTAGGAAGCAGTTTATACTCTTATACCGGTCGGAGTTGTGCCATTCTCAATTGGCTTACCTCAGCGTTATGACGCCGGCTTCAACCAAGGTCTGAATGCTATTCTTGAGAGCAAAGCAATCCTTGGTGGGATGAACGACCCTCCTGTGGTATGCACAGTACTTTGGGTCCGTAGTGTTGTCAGCTTCCTCCTGATTTGTGATAGGTGGTAGCTTGATCTTGTTACCTTCAAGGAGGGATTCGAAGATGGCTGGAACGTCTTCGTCCTTGAAGGAATACTCTCTTTGGAGTCTCGGACCCGAAGTCTTTTGCTGCCTTCGGGATTGCTGTTGTGACGCTTGATTAGCACCACCAGTAGCTGCAGGTGTTTTGCCCTTACCACGAGAGGCGAAATTTGAGTCCAGCGGATTAACCGTCGGTTGGTTCCTCTCGGCCTTCTTCCTTCTAAGGAATCGCTCAGCCTGCTCCCCTCGGACCTTCAGATCCTTCCAAGTGTCAGACGGTGCTGTTCCCATTGCTTCCAACACGTCCAACGCAAGGTTGTTGTGGCAAGTTTGGAGGATGAATTCCTCTGTGATCGGGTCCCGGCAATTCATCGCCTTGTTCCGGAACCTTTTGACGAAGGTGTCGACTAACTCCCCGTCCTTCTGCTTCTCATCGAGCAATGATCCGATAGATATCTCGGTGTCGTCGTCGAAGAAGTTGGCCAGGAACTTGGTCTCCATGTCATCCCAGCTGTTCACGCTTCCTGGCTTGAGGCGGCGGTACCAATCGAAGGCGGCTCCGCGAAGAGTGCCGACGAATGACCGCACCATCAGAGGCTCATTGCCGGAAATAATACCCAGGTGCGATTTGAAATAAATCAAATGCTGAGTGGGGGAACCCTTCCCATCAAACGGCGTAAAGTTAATCAGACTAAACTTCGCCGGATAGGGGATCGATTCCCACTCTTGGCAAGTCTGGAGAATGAATTCCTCGGTGATCGGGTCCCGGCAATTCATCGCTTTGTTCCGGAACCTTTTGACGAAGGTGTCGACTAACTCCCCGTCCTTCTGCTTCTCATCGAGCAATGATCCGATAGATATCTCGGTGTCGTCGTCGAAGAAGTTAGCGAGGAATTTTGTCTCCATGTCGTCCTAGCTATTTACGCTTCCTGGCTTGAGGCGGCGATACCAATCGATGGCGGCTCCGCGAAGAGTGCCGACGAATTACCGCACCATCAGAGGCTCATTGCCGGAAATAATACCCAGGTGCGATTTGAAATAAATCAAATGCTGAGTGGGGGAACCCTTCCCATCGAACGGCGTGAAGTTAATCAGACTGAACTTCGCCGGATAGGGGATTGATTCCCATTCTCGTGGGTATGGACAAGGAATGCCCGTCTTCTTCACCTCTTGAGCGGAGATCAATGTGTTGATTTTGCTCTCGAGATCTTTGATCTTCAAGTCTTCACTTGTATCTTCGTTGGCATCCTCGTTACCACCCCCTGCATTGACGGGAGGGTTATTGGCATTGTGAGCTTCATCCCTATCCGTGTGCTCCTCTTCCTGAACAACCTGGTTACGGTGGCTTGGTTCACCTCGCTGGTTCGTCAGTGCCTGAATTTGTTGCTCATGCATCTCTCTCATAGTCTGCATGGCCATCTGCATCTCGAACCTAAAGCTTTCCTGTTGTTTGGCTATGGCATCTTCGAGCATCTTGGCCACTTGTTCCGCGCTTATCATCAGTGACTCGCGGGGTTCCCCCTCACTGGACACTGTGTTATCTGATGCGACTGCGGAGCAGGTATCCGACTCTTCACCTTCTGAAGGTACTCTTGTCCGAACCCTACCATAAGTTCCTCGTGCGATTGCTCCAGACTGCAGACGGGTTAGGCGCCGGGATGCTTTCAGAATCGACTCGAAATCATCCCGTGCCGATGTCCCCTTGCTGGTCATATTGGTGGTGACCCTCGGAAATTCTCCGTCTTCAATCACCCTTCTTCTTCGTTGGAAGCGCCTAGGCCTTGGTTTTGGCGTCTCCGCACTAAGTCTCTGAAAAACTGAAACTCTTTCGGGGACTGCCTTAATGCAGTTGCATTCAGACAATACCGCCCGAATGAGTTTGGAACAGGGACATTGAGTTTCCTGTTCTCGGGGACTCCTCTTCCTGGTTCTATTCGTACCCCCAGCACGATAGTACAACTCGTCATTTTGACAGTCGGAGTAACCTATCGTGTGCGGGCACGACTTCTCAGGTATAACACTATCACTATCAGATGATAATGTTTCCATCTGAGGTTGGATTGCCTTCTTTGGGCTTTCAAAAGTTACACGCCTCGAAACGTACCTTTGTGGGCGCGAGTCTTCAGCGTGCTCTTGGACTTCGATGCGCAAGTTGGTGAGCGCAGCTGCCTTGAGTTCTTTGTTATACTGGAGGTGATGGCGACCCCCAGCGTGTTGAGTCGTTCTGGGCTTCTTCATCGGGCCCAAACGCTCGTGAACTAGAGCTTTGCCTCCTTCGTCGGGAATTGGACCGAGACACTCCAAGACTGGCTTTCTCCTTCGGGAGGATTCTGCATGATCTCCCAGAGTAGCTATGAGAATTCTCAGCGACTTAGCTTGGTTCGCCGGAGGTTGAATTTTGGTTGGAGGCTGCAGTTGCTGCTTTTTGGTCTGAACCGCCGCTTCAGACTTTGGCCTCCAAACTTTGCGAGTTGGTGGCGGCTTCTTAGCTACCTCTTTCTGCAGCTTTCTACGGGCTTCTTCAGCTTGAGCCCGTGCCTGCGCTGATAGTGCGCGGCGCTTGCGAATGCGCTCCTCCAGCGTCGATCGGTTCCGTTTGACACGGACCCATTCCATCATTGGCGACTTGGAAGAGGCGCCGTTCATTTGTTGCTGAGGCTGTTTGCCTCTCTTGTTCTTCAGATCCACGTTGTAGCGGATCCCGTCAACTGACTCCATGGCCTTTGCGAATCGTTTCGCAAGGCGTTGACGTTGCCTTTGGCGGGCTCTCTTCGAGAGAGTCACCACGCCCTCTGTGGCAGAAGAGTTGGCCAGAGCAGATCTGACCTGGTTGGAAACTGGAGGAATCTCACCCGATGCGACTTTGGCATCAAACGGGGCGAGATCTTCGTTGGTGGCTTCGACTTCTTCATACCAACGAACCTTTCTCCTGGAGGAGAACTTGGACTTCTTGGACTTGCGGGGGGAGGTTGATCCAGACGAGGACAAGTATTCCTCGAACTTAGTTTGGTCGAACTCGTACTCAACCTCCTCCACGACCGGAATTGAAATCCGCGGCTGCGACGCATCGATCTCGTCAGCGAGATCGTCGGCTCCCACTGTGGTCGCCAGATTGTTCACGGTGAAAATCGTTGCTTTCTTCATCATTGATTCCATTGCAAATTCTTGTAATAGTTTATCGATTACAAAGATCCGGTCTTTTTTTAGATCCGGTTACAACGAAAATCAAATAACACAAGAAATAAAGAAAATTACAACTTTCTCCTTATTTGTCGAACGAATCGCAAGATCCTGTTTTGCGGTCTCTTGCTTGTGTGGGTTCTTTGCCGACGCCGGGGTTAATCCGTGGACCACCGCGCGATCTAGATCCGGTCGGATCTACGCAGTACAACGGGTATTATTTCACCAAGGAAATAATAGCCGGGGGTGGCTCGGCTGCCGAGCCACCCTGAGGTGGCTCGGTTTCGGCCGAGCCCCTCCGGGTGTTGTTCGTTCCGTCATTTTCCGTTGTCCGGTTCTGTGCTTCGTTGTTGATCTGGACTTGATTCGGTTGTGTTTCTGTTGTGTGGTTGATTGACCTGGAAACGACTCGTTGACTTGATTCCAGATTTGGCAGTAAGTCGGGTTCCGGAATTGATCTTGATTCGATCGTGATTCATCCGAGTTCGCTCTTGTTTGGATGACTCGGTGATTCCCCGAAACCGTTGGTTGGATTCCACATGCGAGTGGATGCATTCCGATACTTGAGTGCGATTTGTTGACTTCGTCGCCTCGTTAACCTGCTCCATCGCGTATAGCTTGGCTTCGGCGTTGGCGGGCTAACGGTCTTGCTTGGATACGTCGCCCGATGGTCCTTTTGTTGAATCGGCGTCGTCGAGCTGCTCAAGGGACCTATAGGCAATTTTATACGCCTACATTAGGTAGTGTCAATTAATGAAAAATAATAACTGAAAAGTGAATGCATGTGATTGATGACAACAAAAACTTCTTTGAAAGTGGTTTATTTATAAACTAGAAATACAAGGGAGTTTCTTTTAAAGGTGGTTTCGATGAAAAAACCTAACCATTTGAAACATCTACAATAGATTCATAATGAATCCCGTAAGATCCGACCCGAACCCTACCCGTTTCTTCCCACACGATTCCACTCCCCACTTCGGACACAAATCTCGCTCCAAAAAGAAAGAAAAATCCCAGCTTTACAATAATTACTGAGCTCCAATGGCTTCTTCTCTCCTCTTCTCCTGTCCTCTTCATCTCTCCTCTTCCCCCAAACCCTCCTCCATCTCCGCCGCTCGCCGGAGCTCCTCCCTCCCTCTCTCCTCCTCCGATTCGAGCGAGGAGAAGAAGCGGGTGGTGCTCGAGCGGTACGGGCTCGACCCATCAGAGTTCATCTCAGAACCTCACCAAAGGGTTTGATTTCTAACTCCGTGTCATTTATCCGTTGAATTTAGGGTTCTTTTTTTTTCTGATAATATTGAGGGAGGTTTTTTGTGTAAATTTGTAGCGAGGGAGGAGGAGAGAAGAGCAGATGAAGCTGAGGAAGAGAGAGAAGGGGCGGGCGGCGCCTCCGCGGCTGGAGGAGCGGAAACCTCCTCGTACCACGCACAAATTGCTCAAGGTTTTGGTTTCCTTTTTAAAGTTTTTTTTTTAAAGTAAGCTCGAATTAAACTATTAAAGTCTTTTTTTGTTGGACTCTTAGTTTTTAGAATAAAATTTATATAGTTATTTCTTGGTTTCACCATTTTCATAGACGTAAACCAGGATTTCAAATTGTCTTCCAATTTTTAAAATTTCAAAATTTAAACTGGTCATTTCCTTAGTTCTGGGACTCTTTAGCCCCTTTAGCATGTAGAAGTTTGGTAATATCTGAGGCATTTTCTTGGTTCAGGGACTACGTAGAGATGCAACCATTTGTAATGAGAGCTTACAGTAACGAGAGCTGTGTACCACATCCCTAGTTTGAATGCTAACTGAGTTGAATAGTCTAACTAGGGAAGGACAGTATATACCACAATGTCTATACTGAGCCACTTGTAAAGTCTAACCTATTACTGTTTGTGTGCTTCGCTACACTTCCATTTCTTGAGAGTTAATGTTACAGGACTTCTAGATCAAGCTCAAGGATGAAATTCAGCTGCAGCGATTATTGGAACAACTATTTCTAGACTTTGAATGTTGTTTATATGAATTAACCAAGCAAGAAGTAGAAAACATCTGGAAAGGAAGTGAAAGATGGACCCTGTGTTTATGTTGAGCTTTCTAAATTAACTTCGGCAACATGCAAAATAGACATAGATGGGGGTCAACTCATGTATGGAACACTTTGCTTGCTCTAAGTTTGGAATGAACCCATTACTTCTAACTAACAATTGACCGTGCTCTGCATGTGAAAGAGTGGTTGTGCAGCCGACTAATGCCTTCTTTGTGATTATAGTTGGATTAAAGTGTAACTGTAATTATATGATATCACTGGTATGGTTACGCTTATTACTAAAAGGGTGTTTCTGCTATGCATATCATGCTTTTTTTCTCAGCAGCACTTTTTACCCACCAGGTTTTAGGAGGAAAAGCTCGCAGGAAAAAGCTATTGTCACCAGAGGATAGGGATGTCCGACCAATGATGGAAGTTGTAAGAGGAGCTGCTTTTGATATGTTACAGGTAAGGTACTTTGCAGTTTGCAATTTTTCCGTGTCAGGGTAACATTCCTTCAGTGTTTGCAAGGGTCAAAAGGTTTTTGATTCCGATATCACAACTATTGATGAGATAAACTTGTTAGACTTATTTTAATAAATTTTTGATGAATTTGATTATAATTAACCTTTCATATCTAGGTGGCTGGTGGATGTCCAGCTGCACTTAGGCCGGGTCGTTGGTTAGACTTGTATAGTGGCACTGGAGCAGTTGGAATTGAAGCTATAAGCCGTGGATGTTCTGAGGTATATTTTGAATGTCAGACCTAACCTTTAGAGGGTTAGATAAATCGCCAGTTAAGTACTAGTTACGATTGTCCATATAACACTATAGTTTGCCTTTGGCTTCTATATATTTTAATATGTGGATATCTCCATCTGTTGAAAGTAGTCTACCTTTATTAGTTTATTACTTTGCTTGTTCTCTGGATGTTGTGTTTCTTCTAAACTTATAATTATGAACCCTTTCAGAGGATGTTAAGTATTGGACTTTCCTGTCTAAGCTCAAGCTGTATCTTGCATGCACATATAGATCAGTTTATGCACATATAACCTACAAATATTGACATGCAGTAGTAGGTTACAAAAATATTGGATGACATGGAACTTCAAATGTGATCTAAAACTGTTCTATCTTAATTCCATTTACATACAGTTATGAAAGAGAGAAATAATTACAGCTGTAGTGAAATCTTCCTAGTATAGGACTTCTATTGCTTATTTGGAAACTTTGTTTGCTTGTTATTCTGATAGAGAGCAATAATGTTGATGCTACCTTCTATAAGTGATCTAGTCATGAGGTTTCAATGAATAAATGATGAAACTAAGTGATTTCAATACAACTTGCTCAAAGTTTTTTTACTTCCCAATACTTAATTTACGAATAACCTGATGGTATTGCTGAAAGTTTGAAAAACATGATTCTTAGTTCCACCTAACTTGACTTATACAATACTATTTAAAATGATTGTATTCACTATATGTATTTGTTTTTCAGGCTCACTTCGTTGAAATGGATCCTTGGGTTGTTTCTGAAGTTTTGAGGCCAAATTTAGAACTAACTGGATTTACTGATGTTTCAATGGTACACACTAGCCGTGTTGAAAATTTCCTAGAACAGGCGGTATCTCGAGGTATACACTATTGCATTTAAATCTGTCCTTATTTTTTATCGTCAATATTCTTTTAGTTATTTAGCATCGGAATGCTTATACACATGTTTTAGGCTGTGTTATGACCTTGTCTTAGTTTATCTTAACAATGCAATTGACCTTTAACAGTCCATTTTTGGTTCACTATTGGCGACTGTGAATTATGGCTGCTGGTTGATCTGTTTATGAGAAAAGGAAGGTGATATCAGACGAGCTTTAGGGCTGGTTCAACTGTCAGTATGAAGAATTCATAAGTTTGGAAAGATAACAGTAGTGAACTGTTAATCACATGAGATTAATCGTTCAAAAAATCACAAAACTCAGATATTATAGTTCTACTCATTGAATGATTGTGTTTGTTCTATAGAAAAAGAAAAACTGCCCAATCTATTTTCACCATATGAACTTCCCCTCGCACAAGTTGTGTTATGTGTTCCCTTGCTCTCCCACAGGTGAATAGTAATATACAATATTGTATACTGATGGCTGTTAAAATGAATTATATTATTGATATAGATAGACGGACTCTCTTTATGTCAAGAATAAATCTCATCTGAGAGCTGTGTGTACACTGTACAATGAGTCATAAATAATTTATTTACTTAGCTGATTGCTTTTGCTATTAGACTGATCAGTTACGAGATTTACCGACCTCTTTTTCCTACTTGTAACTTATTGATGATTTCTTCTGAGGTAAAGACATTTTCCTTATTGTCTTATCTGCAGGTTTAGTGTCAACTTTAAGTCTTACCTTTTGACAAGTATTGATTTGGACGTTCAGTTTCTTGTAGAGGGGCATAATGATATTGGGTAGGGTGCATATATATGTTCATAAAATACATTGAATACATTTTGTTTTTTTTAATTACCATTATTGCCTTTAGTTGATTCAAAATCTAATTTTGTTATATATTTTCTTCTGTTTGTTGTCTGTTTAGTTTATAGTCTTCCTTTTCATTTATTTGAAGCCTCCTTACAAGAATTATTTTTCCTCACAGGAGAAGATGGATCATTTGATTATGTCAGTGTTACACCACCATATACGGCAGTTGATTATGGTGTACTATTGGCACAACTTGAAAGGTCACCATTAATTGGAGAAGACTGCTTCATTGTGAGTTGCATATCTTTATAGTCGAGATAATAAGTTTGTGTCATCATCATCAATAAGCTAACTTTCTCTTTGTTACTAGCTAGTGGAATATCCCCTTAAAACATCAATGCCGGATTCTTGCGGACATCTCATTAAGGTTCTTTTCTACTCTATTTTTCCATGTTTGTTCAAGAAATGAGAAGCAAGTTTTATAAAGCCATATCTCTATGAATCAGACTTTGAATTGATTTGTTCAAGTCCCTAATTATATGTCATTGCAAGATATCAATTCTAAGATTTTCGTGGTTGTGCAAAGTTGCTTACATTGGAACTAGAATATTGGCACGAGCAAATACACATGAAAATGCATGTGCAAGTAACCTTAAATTTACAATCAAATGTTTTTCTTATCCTGTTTTAATTATGATTTGATGATTTAATATGTTTGATTTAGTTACAGCATTTGTCGTAGGCTATTACTTAGTAATGCATTTAACAAATGATCTTAATACAATAATTTGAGGAGTTTATTTATTATAATATTATCATTGTACTTGGTGATGTTAAACTATATGTACATATTTAAACTATTTTTTGGACCATAACCAAGTATATTTATAGCCATATTCGTACATAACTAGTATTTTTGTAAATTTCACATGTTTTTGGTAGTCATATTCTCCTGCGAACTAAGAAGACTTACTTAAAATTTTATCATATTAGACTATATGAATTTTACTGAATGAAGTTATTTACTTAGAAGTTACTCTAAATATGTTTTCTTTAGGGGCTTGTAGGTGATATTTTTTTATTTTACATTTAATTTGGAAAGGTTTACAGCATGTGTACCTTTATTTATGTATTTGTGTGATAGAATCCTCTTTTATGTAGTACTAGCATTATGGCACGTGTAACATAAATTAAAATTTAATTATTCTAGCTTTTACATAAAAAGGGTCACTTTTAATACCCTAAAGTAATATTTATTTTTGCAAGATCTATGTATGATATTTGTTCATTTGATATGCAATATTTTATTTACCTTATTTGAATTTGATTGTGATATATATTTCAATTTGAGTGATGACTTAATTTTCCTAGATATTGTTATTTAGAAGAGGCTTTTTTTAATATTTTCTCTTCAAATTATTATATTTAACTGTTTTAGTTGAAGTACCTAGAAATACACTTTCAATAATATTTACATTGAAACATGTCAACTTCTAATTGTTGTTTTATATCTATACTACTATAAAATGAACATAGTGGTGATAGTAAAAGTTGGATGAGTGGTGGACATGTCCTCTTTTCTATTGTAATAATTTGGAGGGAAAATAGTAATTTTGTAAGAGAGATTTTTTTCCTTTCCTTTCATTCATTCTTATTTCTTGAAGACTCTAAACCATGACATGAGAATAAGATTTGAACCGACATAATTACGACTAAGTTTTTAAGAGAAGCATTTATTTTCTTTCTTTTCTTTCTTTTTATCTTTCTTATTTCTGGAACATTCTAAATCATGAAATGATAATACACATGACTAAATTGCAATATCCCTATTTTTCTTTTTTAATTTAATCACTTACTCTAAATATATTATCCTCAGTTAGGTAACTACTCAACAAAATTGCGTTAAGGGTAGATTTAATTGGTAAATAATAGTTTAATGTACATTTTCTATACTCCATAATAAAATTGCATAAATTAAATCATCATCAAACTATTATATGACAATGTAAGACTAATTATATGAAAATGTAAGACAAAATATATGAATTTATTTTTTGCACATGAATCGCACGTGCCAATGTGCTAGTCTTTTATAATATCTATACTATTATATAAAGAACATTGTGGGGATAATGAAAAAAGTGAATGAAAGGAGGACATTGTTCTCATTCTACTATAATTGGAGGGCAAAAAAGAACTTAACAAGAGACATTTTCTCTTTCTTTTCCTTTCTCTTTTTTGTTTCGGTTTCTAGAATATTCTATATCATAGAAACATATTTCTCTTCCTTCCTTTATGATTTTTTGTTCTCTAGAATATCCATACTATACAATGTTATTAACATAGGATTGTGGCCCATAAAATTGCCTTTCCATTATATTCCATGTTCTAAAAAGAATATGATGAGGACAAGCTTCCATATTAGTTGTTATTTGACTTTTGTTTTTATTTATTTAGGTTTTTAGTAGTTTAAATTTGAATTTCGAATTTGGTTAAATTTAGTAGTTATTAGTTTTGGTAATTGAGTGATTTGAGGGAATTTTTATTTGGTGAGATTTTATTTTGAGAGATTTGATTTTGTGAGAGATTTGCAAATCTCTAATATTTTCTCTTTATAAACCCTGCTGTAATCATGAAAAAAAATCATTGATGAATGAAATGAAAAATATGGTATTAGCCTAACTGTTTGTGTGAAACATTCAGGGGTGTGAAACCCTAGGTTAAGACTTTGTTTTCTTCGTTTCTTCCAAACTGCAAATTCCTTCTTCTCTCCTCTTCATAAACTCAGCCACTGTTCATCTTCTTCCTTTTTTTTCCTTCAATTCACGTCAACTCCCAGAACCCATCAAACACCTCTCCTGCTCCTCTTCAAAACCCGCAACCATCTCCCCATCGTCCCCTCCAACAGCCGCACCAACTCCCCGCCTTCCCTCTTCCCCGAGCAGCAGCGCCGCCAGCCTCCCCTTCTCTCCTTCAGCAGACGCCACCAGCTGTGCATCCCCTCTCTCTTCCTTCTCCTCCTCTACAAGCGCCGGCCACCCTCTGCTCTTTTGTTTCCCTCCCACAACCGCTCCCAACATCTCCCTCAGATCCGCCTCCACCCATTCTCAACATCTCCCAACATCCAGACACCAAGTACAGAGATATGCTAAACCATTTAGAACACCAAGTACAGAGTTACGTTTCCGATCTCCGACGCCCCTTTCTCTGCCTTCATCCGCTTCGAAGCAGCAACGAACCCACAAATCTTCTGCCCTGATCATTGCACAAGGATCTGTTTGTAGCTTAAACTGAAGATCAACTTCAGAATCAACTGTTCAGATTGATTATAACAGCGGTTAATTCGGATCTGATTTTCAGCCCGACGATGGTATCAATTTCACTCAGTATTTTTCTGCTAATTTCACTTTATTAGTTAATTGCAAAGACTAGTTTATCTCTAAATTCTTATCATATAAGTCACTGCTTGATTAATTTTGTGAGTTGAGAGTACTAAACATGTGACTGCTAAATTTTGATATTGATCTTAGAACTTGCGAAATGATAATTAATATTGCGATTAAATTATTCAAGATTGGAATTGTTTATGACTATCATTGCAAATCTTATTAAAATCCATCGGTCACATTAACTGTTCTAAATTAATTTCCTACCGAATATTATGAATTTTGGCGAAACGTTGTATTATTCGATTTAAATCGCTGATTCTGATAGAGCCCCTCCCTCGTTTTACATCAGAATACAAATGAAAATTATTAGTTTCTTGCAAGAAAAATAACATATGTAGCCAAAAAAAGTCAGAATGTCAAAGTAATAAGTTTTTTTTTGGGGAAACTATAAGTTTTGTGCAGTGCGCACGTACTTTTTATTCTGCAATATATATCACTTAGGGGATAAATTGAAAATTACGTATACATGAGAGTGAGATGATATAGAGATAGTCATCCACTATTATGAAATAAAAATCCCTGCAAGTTAATATCTCCATGAACATTCTAGAAGAGAGAATTCTACTATTTAGTAAAATGCCCATTCTACCCTTCACATTAGAATGGAGGATTAAATGTCCTCTATTCCTCCATTTTCGCCATCCCTCTAGTTTTCTCTTTATGTACTAGTGTAGATATCCAGTCAATGCTTGTAGCCCAAAATCTAGGTCATGATTTTAGTTTTGTTGTATCTTTTAGTTCATTTTTCTAACAGAATCCTTCCAAATATTAAAGCATTGAATATTGCTTTTGAAAGACAACACTAAAATATACATGAGGTTAATGATTTGTGTGTTTGTCGAACTCTCGTTTTTGAGATTGAGAGACTAGTGTACATAGCTTAAAGGCTCTTGTCTACTTCTGCAACATGCATACTCATCAGAAGGCTCTAGCGTATTCATTAGTTGGAAGTATTTTTTCCATCACTTCTTACCAGTGTCCAACTATTCAGCTCTTGCACCTGCTGAATAGTTAATTATTTTGCTAAAAAAGAATTAGTTAATTAATTTTTGTTTTATCCTTTTAATTAATTATTTTGCTCAAAAAGATTAGGTAATCACCATCTTCATGTATTTTGGTGTTAAGTGACCCTTCTATTTCTGCTGTCTCGGGCTACATTTGATATTTCAATTAACCTGTTTCATATGTCTATCAATTTTTTCTTTCTTTCTTTACTATCAGTATCAGAACTTGTAGGGAAATTGTAATTATTATTATATATGGCTATGCAAAGTGATATTTTCAGGACATAAAAGAGGAGGATTATCTGCCATCTCCTGACATTTCTTCCATTGTTTGGGCATTGCTTGTAGATTTTCTTGAGACGTGCTAAAATATATTATTCAGAAGTTTTTTCTCTCTGTTTTTTAATCTCTTTCCCCATTATCTTTGATATATGCAATGTTTTATATGATGCAGATAACTGACAGACGATTTGGTAGAACCAATTTGATTGTGTATGGACCAGAATGGGCACAGAAGAAGAAAAGGTCAGAAAGAACTTTGTTGACAAAAAGTAATTTATTATGAGAGAGAATTTTGTTACATGATTACTGCCTTCTACTTAGATGTATATTTTATTTCGTGTTTTCTATATGGTGTTAGGTGATGGATTTTTGTACTTGGCTGTATGGGATTGTTTCTGTTAGTCACAAGTAATTAATTTTTCTGTACAAATAGGGAAATTATTTGGAGAGGGATACAACCCTTACAATGTTCATAATAGAATTTATCTACATTACCGCCTGAGTTTGAGCACAAATTTACTATTGCATTACGACAGATTTTGTAAACCTCCCATGTAATTAGTGCGTCAGA